CACATTCCCCACCCCCGACCCCCAGCGAGTCCTACAAATCAAACTCAGGTCTTCTGGAAAAGCAGCAACCTCTCTTAACTACTGAGCCATCTCCTCACTCCCTTGTTTTGTGTTTTCTTTGTTTTTTGTTTTAAATGATTTTTATTACACTTTTAAATATTTTATACAATGTTTTATGATCAGATTCACCCCAACTCCTCCCTTTAACTCCTCTCACATCCACCCCAGCGTCCCTATCGCCCCAACTTCATTGTTGCTTTTTTAAAAAAATTGATGACCCACTGAATCCAATTTATGCTTTCCATCTACTTCTTGCTGTGGGACCATCCACTGGAGGATGGTTACCCTACTAGGAACCAGGGAGTCGGTTTTGCTTATTTTGTTTTTAAAGGAACTTGCTCTGTAGACCACTTTGACTTTGAAGTGCCATACTTTCCCCTAGCCTCCTGTATGCTGAAGTTACATGCAGCTCCCACCACTTCCACTTTAGAACACATTTTCTAAGGTCCAAGCTCTGTGAGGGGATATATTGAGACTTTGACAGTAGACAGAAAAAGCCCCAGCCCTGACAGAAGCCCTGACATAACCCAGCCACAACTTCCATCTCCCTACCCCCATTCCTTCCTCTTCCTCAGTAGACTCTGAGAATCAACCATCATCTTTTTGTTTATTTAGACAGTTTTTGTGTTTTCCTTTGTTTGAGACAGGGTCCCCACTATGAGCCTAGGCTGCCCTAGAACTTGCTCTGTATATCAGGTTGCCTTTGAAGTATCACACTGTTCCCTAACCTCTTTAATGCTGAGATGACAGGCTGCCACCACACCCAGTTGAGAAAACATTTTCTGAGGGCCCAGCTCTGTGAGAGGACATGTCGAGACCTTGAGGGTGGACTGAAGTAGCCCCAGGCCTGACACTATCCCCAAATAATCCAGGTCCAGTCCTTATCTCTCCAGCAGCACCATGATGGGGTAAACTTTGTTCAGATGAGCCCCAACACCCCCCACCTCTGCCTCAATAGACTCTGAGATTGAGAGCCATGTTCTAAGGATCCAGGATGAGTGAGGGGATACTAAAGAGACACTAAGGCAGACTGAAGAAACCCCAGTCCTTGGAGCAAGGCCTCAAGTAATCCCAATGCATCACGTTTGTCCACCCAATACCAAATGGTGGCCATCTGTTGGAATGAGCCGTTCCACCGTCCTTTTTGCCTCAGTGGACTCTGGAAGTTGAAGCCACATTCTAAGGTCTGCTGACCTAAGAGGATATGGGCTCTGTTAGAGAACATACATGGCGAGACCCTGAAGATGCATTCATACAGTCCTCCTGGAAGCTGTGCAAAAACTTAGGGACTTTGGTTTCCTTTCTTCACAAAGTCTTTCTTCTGTCTCACAGAAATAGGCCTTGCATTAAGGAAGGTGTATTCAGCTCATCAGAGGAAGGAGTTCAGTTGTTGCACTTTGTCAAGGTGTCAGGCAGGTCCCCAATTGTAATATACATGGACTCTACTGAACTGTGCTACTTCTTGCAGTCTTCCTGAACAGGTTTAGCCAGATATAAGGTACTCTTTTGTCCCATCTCAGAATTGTGGGCTTCTGTTGCAAGAAGGTGGTCTCAGGCCAGTAGAGGGGTGGGGGCCAGATCCTGAGAGTGTAAAGTTGAGAATTCAGAATGATTGCAGAGGGTACCATATACCTGACAGCAGAGATACTCCACAGAGCCCAGCTCACCTTCCTATCAGTGATGGATATCCAGTCTTCTCACTGCCTGTAGCGGTGGGATACCTCAGGGCTCGTACACAAACTCTGGGGGCCAGAAGGTGAAGGTCTTAGTCTGAGGCAGTGTCCTCAGGTCAGACACAGGGGAAGCCCAACCAGAGTCAGGGGTCAAGATGAGGCACAGTATGTACGGCAAGCGTCCCATCCACCGTGGAACACAGGAGCCTCCACATTTCCTTGCCCCATAAGTACCACTGAGAGTGCTGCAGCCTCAAGCCCTGTGACCCAGCTGTACTCTGAAGAGGCTTACCACTGCTTCCCTCAGTTTCATAAGGGATAGGCCTGACAGGAAGACAGGTTCCTCTGTGGCTTTAGAGCATCACCCAAGAGAAAACCTGTAACAGGCTGCTCTGAGAGTTTTCAGAGATGACTGTCAGCAAAAGTGTACTCACAGTGCCTTCTTCTTTGCCCCAGGTGTCTGAGTCTGTACCACTCTGCTCCTGTCTACCCCACTACCTGCTACCTACAAGGAAAGTCATCACACTTCATAAGCAGAAGAACCAGTACTGTACGTGTACGCTTCAGGGAAATCCTCGGGCCCAAAGAGAGGCACAGAGCCTGATGAGTTCCCAGGTCCCCATAGTCAAAGAGGAGGAGGCCACTGGCAAGACCTCCTCCTTTTCAACTATCTCAATCACTCAGAGGCAGAAGCCTACTGGTGGAATACCAGGTTCTCCCCAGAGTCCTCAGAGAGCCTCTTCTCCCACAACTACCATAGCCTCCATTCCGATGGAGGCTTTCTGACGACCAAATAAGGAACCTGGATGATTTCCTTCCCATGTTCCAAGAGGCACTAAGACGCAAGGTGCGTGACTTGGTGCAGTTCCTGCTCTACAAGTATCGGAGCAAGGAGCTGACCACCAAGGCAGAAATGCTAGCGATGGTCATCAGAGATTATATGGGGTATTACCCTGTGATTTTTAAAGAAGTTTCTGACAACTTGACACTGATCTTTGGCATTAACATGGTGGAAGTGGACCACCTTGTCCACTCCTATGCCCTTGTCAGAGCCCTAGGGATCACCTATGATGGGCTGCTGCATGGTGTCCAAGGCATGCCCAAGACAGGCCTCCTTATCATCATGCTAGGTATCATCTACTTGAAAGGTGAGCATGTCAGGGAGGAGGCAATCTGGGAAGTGCTAAGTATGATGAGAATATATCCCGAACAAAATCATTGTGTCACTGGGAATCCCAGGATGCTCTTCACTGAAATTTTTGTACAGGAAGGATACCTAGAGTACAGAGAGATACCCTACACTAACCCTGTTCAGCATGAGTTCCTATGGGGCCCAAGGGCCTTTGCTGAAACTAGTAGGGAGAGAATTTTGGAGTTTTTGGCCAAGATCACTGGGCTCCTCTAAGGGCTTTGAGAGATGAGGAAGAGGGAATCTGTTGAGAATTGCCACTACAAATGGCCATACACATTCTAGTGCCAGATTCAGAAGCATTCTGAATGATGTGTTTAAAGGGGGCTTTCAGTGTTTTAAGTAATAGATGGTGTGGGACTAGGGAAAGTAAGTTAACAGTATCTTTGTTTTCCTGTTTTATATGGGTAACACTATTTTTTTTCAACTTTTGTTCCTCTTAATTGAAGATTTCAGTAGCTTGAGAAT